CACATTAATTAAGAATGTGTTTTCATTGTTATATTTTTGAATTCGGCAACTAATGTGATATAAAGAACTCCTTTGTATCTGATTCAAAAGAAAGCTAAAATAAGTCGGTAATCTTAATTTCGCAGTGGTCATCACTTTCTTTCATCGGAATGCCTCATTCGTCAACGAATTGCGAAAGGGGAGGGCAGATTTTACATTTCAAAGTTGGCAATCATTTTGAGGCAAAATCGCACCTTGCGATAATAGGGCTTTTATCATTGCACTCTTTTGTCCTTAAATTCTAGGCTATGCGGAAGACGTCAAGTCGTTGGCTGAGAGGCCACTCAGCCAACGACGCGATGTCGTCGATGGTGTAACGGTTGGCGGCGGCGATGGTGTAACGGTTAGCGTACTGGATCCAATTTGGCGGGTACCCGAAGCCGTGGATTTTTAAGGGCGAAAAAATCCTTCGTACGCCTTCCTTCGGAGGGGAAGTAAAGCCGGCTGTCCCATGTTCGTAGATTTATTTGCATGTAAAAGATCCTCAAGCCTAAATGACGCCTCTGAGCTAAATTCAAATCGCCTGTTTCTCGCCCAAGAAATACCTCCTTTCTCTCCTAGTTGGTGAAAGGAGCGTAGCGAAATTTGCGTGGTCAGACGGAAGAGCGGGCCTGATGGCCCGAGTCTCGCCACGTAAAATAAGGCAAGTTCAATTCAATGTCACCCGGACAGCCAAGACCTTATCGAATCGAGCCGCGGAAGCTTACGTGTGCACCCTTTAGTCGCGCCCAGTAAACCGGATTAGGTGGCTCAGGGCATCAACTGATGTCTCTGCAACGCCTCTGCCCGGGAGATCCTAGTGTGTGAGTCACGGCAGTGACACGCGTTTCAACACTAGCTAAATAGCTAGGTCCAGTTCACTGTCTGGAGAAGAATTCCAGTCGGCTGCTCTGATAGGTACTTTTCCGAGGTTTCCCCGAACAAGACGAGGCAAATTCCGGAGCAGTACACTCACAAACGAACTACGGACCGCGCGCGATCTTTCCTTACTTTTCTTTAACCTATTGTGACGTCATGGATACTCACAGCGACCACAGACACAGAGCTATCATATAACAAATATATTTATTAACAAATAAAACAAAACAAATATATACACTTAATAATCTACTTACACCCTAGCTCTGATAGACCTACTATCCGCTGATCGCGGGAGCGATCCAAACCCGATTGAAGATGGTTTTGATTGTGGCATTCGCCACTCCTACTTTTGAAGCGCGCACAAAGCCTAGCTTCCGTGACCGGATGTCACGCTGGGACACAAAGTCCGTTCTGGCGCACCAACGGCTGGTTTGCCTCGATCGCAGGAGCGATCTTATCCGATTGAGAATCGGCGTGAATCGTAGCACTCTACCACTCTTCACCTCGGAGCACGCACACAGCATCGCAGTGACCGCAGTCACTCAAGGACACAAAGTCCGCAGGCTTCGTCAACTAATGACTCCAGCCTCGCGAGCCTGGCTCGCATATGCACCGTCTTGGCGCCAAGTTTCGTGCACACGCACGAGGTTCTCCCACTGTCTCCAGAACCCCCCCCCCCCACTGGCTCCGTACACGCTGTTATATAGGCGAGGCCCACGTGACCTACTACGTCACGCCACCCCCTCGCTTGTTATAACAGTGAAAAGTTTCTATAGGCCGGATACTCCCAAAGCCTTGTCTCCCCCGTTTCCGCGTTCTTCCCTTTACGGAAAAAAACCCTTCTTCCTGTGGCGAGGCTAATCCTCTTCCAAGCGTTCCCAAATAGATGCCATGAGGCACGCTGGCTAATACATTACACTATTCTCACGCCGGGAGACCAATCGTTAGCTTCGAGATAATACCGGCTGGGGCGATACCCCGCAGATGGGAGGTGGTTGGGGAAAACGAGCCAAGGGACAGCGGACGTTGACAGTGCCTTTGTAGTGTAACACAGGGCCTGACCTCGCCGTCCAACGGGGGAAGATCTCCTCCACCGCCCGAGGAAAAACGCACGCACTACACTTAAGAGACTAATGACCCTAGAAGGTGAAGTGCCCGGAATGACTAACCCATCAATCAATCGTGTCCAGATCCAATGGAAGGTTGAAAAGCCCTGTCTTTGTATGTAGTACCTTGCGGTGGCTGGACCCTGAACTAACCTTCCAGCGGGCAAAAACTCACGCCCCCACCCGAGGGTAAACGCATACACTGCACAAGGGACCAACGGTCTTTTCAGTAGACGCGTTCGGAATCCCTATTTCATCTACCAATCTTGTCCAGATCTAATAGAGGGTCGAAAGGCCCTGGCTCTGTACATAGTACCTTGTTGCAGATACGGTGGCTGGACCCTGAACCATCCAACGGGCAAAAAAACCACGCCCCCACGCGAGGGAAAACACGTACACTGTACTTAACGTCCTTAGCTGTTGCTCGGAATCCCTATTTCATCAATCAATTTTGTCCAGATCTAACGGAGGGTCGAAAGACCCTGTCTTTGTACGTAGAACCTTCTTGCGGATGCGTTGGCTGGAGCCTGAACTAACCATCAAGGGGGGAAAAACCACGCCCCCACCCGAGGGTAAACGCATACACTGCACTTAAGTGACCAACGGTCTTTTCAGTAGACGCGTTCGGAATCCCTATTTCATCTATCAATCTTGTCCAGATCTAATAAAGGATCGAAAGGCCCTGGCTCTGTACGTATTACCTTCTTGCAGATGCGTTGGCTGGAGCCTGAACTAACCATCCAGCGGGCAAAAAAACCACGCCCCCACCCGAGGGAAAACACGTACACTGCACTTAACGTCCTTAGCTGTTGCTCGGAATCCCTATTTCATCAATCAGTCTTGTCCAGACCTAATGGAGGGTCGAAAGGCTCTGTACGTAGAACCTTCTTGCGGATGCGGTGGCTGGAGCCTGAACTAACCATCCAGCGTGCAAAAAACCACGCCCCCACCCAAGGGAAAACTTAACGTCCTTAGCAGTTGCTCGGAATCCCTATTTCATCAATCAATCTCATCCAGATCTAATAGAGGGTCGAAAGGCTCTGTCCTTGTACGTAGAACCTTCTTGCGGATGCGTTGGCTGGAGCCTGAACTAACCATTCAGGGGGGAAAAAACCACGCCCCCACCCGAGGGAAAACGCTTACACTGCACTTACGGGACCACCGTCCTTAGCAGTTGACGCGCTCGGAATCCCTATTTCATCAATAAATCTCGTCCAGATCTAATGTAGGGTCGAAAGGCCCTGGCCTTGTAGAACGTAGAACCTTCTCGCGGATGCGGCGGCTGGAGCAGGCGCGGTCGCAGCTGCTGCGACCTCGTCCGTTCTGGACTTCCCGCCCGCGCAGTCGCCCTCCCAGCCCAGGGCGCGGCGGCCACGCATGGCAACGCGGCCGGGCCGCCCATCGCGGATTCAGGCCCCGCCGCCTCAACTGTCGCGGGTCCCGTGACAGGAGACGCGCCAAGGCCGCGGGATTCCCGCCCGCCAGAGCGCGCGCGCCGCCAACGCGGGTTTCCCGGTCTTCGGATTCCATCCTCCGCCCGCGACGACGCAATTACCTAGCAGCTTCATTTGCGACGAGACAGGTTGGACGGATCCGCGTGCGAAATGAAAGCTTCGACGCAACATCTGAAAATATTCATGTTGAAAACCAGGAATCTCCAACCTTCCTTCTACTCAGGGCCGGATTGGATGTTTTTAAGGGCCTCGAGGGCAAAAAATTAAATTTCAATTTAGGATGGAATTTGTCACTTATTTGTTAAATTAAACTTTTAATTAAAGAACGACAAAATAGTTAACAATTCACAAATTAACACTTAAAATACATATGAGCACAGAATTATGGATATAATATTTGTAATAGTTAAAGGTAATTGAGGGCTACAATTTTCAATTTAAAATTTGAAAATTTAATTACAATGACATTTATAAAACGAAGAAACGATAACTTTAAAAAGTACCTGAATGAGAGCAATGATTTTGTTTTGTAGACTCTAACAATAAGAAAATTTGTGGCTCAATTTTTGATTCACCTCTCATTAAATTGCCTCAAACGGGTGGTAAGTGAAACAATAGGAAACCAGATTCTTATAATTTGCAAAAAATGTAACAGCTTGTTTCATGGTTACATTTGAATTAGAATATTCTTTGGGCTGGCGGGACACACATGATACTGAAGAGGGCCGTACATTGGAGACCATTGCTGTAAACGGTGCCCTAATCTAACACAACTTAACTTTCAACACTTACGTGGGAATGTTTTCTATTTAGCAATTGTCATCTACCCTTGCGCCCCGCAAGGAACGTATTACCGAAGCAATGAGAAGACCCCGGAGAGTGCAAATATAATTAATTTTTTACTTATACCTTATATTTTTTTATTGCCTTCTATATTCGCTGGATAACTTAAATGGATCGAGAGCACCGCGGTTACGAGGGAAATATGAAAAGACAAACCGAGTCCAAGTTAACATAGTTAATTAGTAAATAAGTGGTAATAAATAAAATTGGTAATAGGTAAAAAATGAAATTGTATACCACGGGCGTTAACTGGTTCTCATGATCTCGGGCGACAAAAAGGCTTAGGCCCAATGACCATCGGGCGTATTGTCGCCCTTATAACTTCTTTGGTGCATAAATAACTATTATATTCTTCTTTAACGATATTCAGACTATAAATTACAGTTTTTAATGCTTTTTTTTAAAGAAACAATGCAACAAACATGAAATAAGCGTTATTTTGACCGCTAATGTGATTCAACCTTTCGCTCTCTTAAGTCTTCTCGTGGAAAGGGAAATGGTAGCTAGTTATCAGTTCAGTGCTCTGTCAGTTAATTTCCCGTGTGTGCTCTATTTCCGGAAATGTTTCCGTGGTGAAAAATTTCAGATACCGCAATTTAATTTAAAGATTGTAACTGCCTACAAAAAACTATTAACATTTATTTAATCCTGAGTATTCTCACTGAAATAAAAATGTATAGAGGCGTGGAAAAGGACACTGGAAATTAAATTGCAAAAAATAAAATAAAATTCACAACTGGAAGAAAAACAAAATACTTCTTTTACATTTAAATAATTTTATCTACCTTACTCCTGAGATACAGCACCTTGTTTTTCATCCAGTTGTGATATAATTTATTACTATGACTGTCAAATATGATACATACAGAGCTGCATTGAAAAAACGCAGTTTGTTCTCGTGTCTCCAAGTAATTAACTGACCAGAACGCAATAATGTAACGCTTATCTATATAAGAACATAAAATTATCTACAAGGAAGCACAATTTTTTCATGGATTCCACAAGTAGGTTGTCGCTTCCGAATGGTCAATGGCTCTCCCTGAATTATTTCAGATCCTATTAAGTTTATTCAGGAAAAAATATCATAAGTACTCGCCAGTAATATCTTTGTACAAAATAAAGCAATTCTTTCTATAAAAAAACTGTAAAAAATAAATAGCCACTAGGCAATATTCATCATCATTCGCATTTATCTGTATCTGGCGTAGAAACGACTTTTGTTGGAATCCATAGTCACCCAAAATTAAGTACAAGTATAAACAAGAGAAAAGTTCACCAGGAAATATCACACTGCCGATACTTCTGGTACAAATCGACGTCGAAATAATGCAATCATTCGATATTTGGAAGCATCTTTTACAGAGTTATGAGCATTTCATGTCAGTACGGAAGAATAATGAATAATAATACAAAGGTTTGCTTATATACAATTCTCACGCAAAAGGTGACCACCAAAAGAATGATTGAATGTCTTATATTTTAAGATTATAAGAGTAGGAAATTGTAAATCTTAAAAATTTGGAAAAAAGTAAATACATTCAAATTGATCTCCTGAAATACGTCATAGAGCATGGTTCAGAATAGAAGTTATAAACCGGGCAAGTACAGGGATCTAAAATGATCACTTTTTTGGACCTGTTGTGGGAAATTACAAAAAGGAATTTCATGTACATACACTTTTGAACTTCGTGTCTATGGCTAGTAGGTAACTCACCGTGCTTTGTAGGCACACGAAATGTCTGACTTACAACGTGTACATACGAAACACTCGCACAGGATGGTTGTCTATCAATGGGGGGTGGGGTAGCGTGAGTTTCAAAATTGCATGCGTGAAACTTCATATTGCAAGATTTTCCATCAAAAGTTCAGAGGCAAAAAGTGATCATCTTCGACTCCCTACATGCCCCAAAAATTTGCAACATTAATTCTGAGCCACCTTTTATAACACGTTTCTCAAGAATATGGTAGTGCGTTTGTTATATCAGTAGGCTGCCGAGCACCTTCCATCAGTAGCGATAATACTGGTCGAACAACCTGGATTCCTAAGGCAGACGAAGGCTGGCCCTGCGCCAGAAGGCAGACGCCCCGGGGCGACCTGGCCGGAGTTTCCGCAGGAGGGCGTGGCGTGGCGTGGCGTGGCGAGCGCCGGGCTGGTGCGTGGCTTGAGGGGGGGGGGAGACGTGAGGCGGGCGCCGCGCCGCCGCTGTCTCACTGCGTGCGCTTGTGGGGGCCGTGAATGGTGCGGTACTTCCGCTGCAGGAGCTGGCGACGGCTCTTCAGCATGCGCTGTAACACCAATAAACAGCGCCTTCAATGAATCGGATCAGGAGATTACAACGAGTTGGGTTCGCTTGAAGCGCGTTATCAAAATCCAACTAAAGGGCAAAGCTCAACTTCCGATGCAGAAGCTGGCGATAACTCTCTAGCATGCGCTGCAACCCAAGAAATACCACCATCAATGAACTGGCTAAGTGAATGGATGCAAGGGATTTGTGAATGGTTCTGTTGATGACCTTGGGGCTCGAGTTCGGTTGAAACGCGGCGAAAAAATCTAACTGTAGGAAAAAGTTTAGCTTATCAATGTATACATCAAGCGTTCCACATACGCGTATTACATTCTGGAGTAGCTAGTCGGGCTGGGCATATGACAATGGATTTTCGTTCTGAATATTTCAGCGATAGGTGTGTTGTTAGAGCACGAGCGCAATGGTGGTCTCGGAACGATGGACCGCGGGTTCGAATCGCGCCAGACCATGGATGTTTAATATGTGTAGTGGCATGGTGGGCTTTCCAACCCATCTTTTCCAAATTTCCTGGCCTGCCTATGTGACGCTGAGGCTTGGGCTGTAGCCAAGTGTATGTGTCAGATGAGCGGCGAATTCCCCAGAATATGACCTCCAATTCGGCCTTTTCGCTCTGTATGAGTCTGTGGACCACAGCGAATCATCGTTAACTATGTGTTAGTCATTGTCCGCTAAAACCAAAGTAGCACGTTTTGCCTGCGGGTTATGCTTTCATTCTTTCTTTCTTTATTTCTTGTTCGGCCAGAAGGTCTTTCAAGAGCTTCAATACAGTTTCATTAATAGTCAAAATACGTTTTGGTACCATTGCTAATTGTAAACACACACACCATCCCTAAGTTTGGTAGTTTAAAATGGTTGTTTAATTTGAAACAATTTTTAGTTTAATTAAATTAGTATTTCTTTGGATATTAATATTAATAATACTAATAATGTGGATGCCATTTACCTTTTGGAAATTTGGATCTTTTTTGATAGTGATCACAACATTACGGCCTAAATTAATTTTTTGAGTTGGAGAACACAGGTTAAGTAAAGAGAAAAAACAATGGGAATTTTTCAATATATGATTTTTAATGGAATCTCTATGTAATTATCGATGAATTAGGGAATTTGGCACAATCCCAGGAACTTAAGTATCCGCCGAAGGCATTTATTTTGAACAACTTGTAATTTCTCTATTGTTGTAGCTGTAGTATTGATCCAAATTGGTTTGGTGGCACTTGTTACCGAAGGTAAAATCATGGTAAAGTTATGCTAGTTGTCATGTTACACCGCTAATCAACGGGCCCGTAGGTAGCATCTGTGGTAGAATGAGGGAACTACGGTAAGTGGCATGGTGCTGCTCGTGGAGCAGGGAAAATAGTGTGATTTTCTAGACATCGCATGTTAAGGCTCTAAAAACTTACGTTGTAGGCGCCTGAAAAAGCACTAAAGTTTTTTTAAACAGGCACCGAAAAAAGCAAAAAAAAACTTAAAATTGGAGTGGAAAAACTGGAATGAATTTCACTGCACTTGCATATAAAATTAGCCAATACCAAAAAACAACATTATTCCTATTCCTATTAATGTATCATTAGAGAGACTTTAGCATCTTTACAGGATTGAGCTCGAGACAATGATAAAGTACTTCGCGTGGAGCACAACTCAGGCAACTGCGGGCAGAATGAATACGCGCCTACCGCCCGGCATAGAAGGACTTACACAGCGCACTTCCCAGAAGAACATATGGCACGGAAAGGTATCAATGTCGGAAGAGCCTTGCCCTCCGAGACACGAGTGCTTCGATAACGTCGCGAGTAGGTGCTCATACACACACAGACACGCATACACACACAGACACGCATACACACACAGACACGCATACACACACAGACACGCATACACACACAGAGATGCATACACACAGACATACAACACACACATTCATGTGAACTTATTACTCCGTTGCTGAATCACTTCCCCCGCGCGCCCCCGGTGAAACAGCTGCTCGCGGATTCCGGCGGCGAGTGGGAGCCGCTTAGGGAGGCTGTGCGTGTGCGCCACGCACTTCCATCGCCCTACGCGCTGCATTTTGCGCCCGCGCGCCGCTCGCCATCGCGCAGTCGGCCCACGCGCGACGCCCAGCCCCGGCGCTCGGGGTATTTCCACTTCTCAGACGCTCTACTCGTGTGACATCCACGTTGCTAAACATCCATGTTCAGAATTAAACCGTCGATGTGAAAAGTAGGTCGACCAAAAATGATCGACGTTTTGAAACGTCGATTGACTGATTAATTACTAATCGGACGCGTCTACGGCGGTCATTAGGCTCGTAAGTGTAGTGCACGTTTTTATCCTGGTCCCCAAAGCCCACACCTGACCTAAGCACCTTGTAAATAACTGGAGGACTGTTAGTGTACTCAAGAAGGTGCAAGGATACACCGCGTTATCATTACTTTATACATATATGTACTTCTGCACAACAGCTGGCACTAATCTATCACATGATAAATTTCCACCTTTTCATCTACGCTATCTGCCTTGAGGTCAAGCAATGAATTAAAGAATTATCAGATGTATGAGTAATTGATTTAAAAACAAACTGTGATATGTATATTTATAAATCAATTCACCAGGCCATTGATTTCAGGAATATGGATTTGAATATATTTTCTTTTTGATGGCACAAGTTTGTACGTCATAGTAACGTTAAGATATTCCCGAAAAAGTATAATCTTGGGAAAATGAAATTTACTTCCGGTCATAAACTATGTAAAATAAAATATTTTTAAAATGTCGGAGTAATAGTAAAGAGCGAAACATTTTGTAGGCCACTACGAGTATCAAGCAATCAATACTTTTGCACTACACAAAATTATTTACCATAATTAGTGTAGCAATAAGGGAAAGTTCGCGTGAAAAATTAACAAGAAAATTAATAGTTAAAAAATAGTGTGATGAAAGCAAAAATTGAAAGTTCATTTCCATTCTTTATTTTCACCTTAAAGGTGCAACAAAAACCATTAATTTTGGTAGACTACTATTCGAAATGTAATTTGAGAACAAATCCATCTATTGTTTTGAGAATACAACTGATCGCATTGTGTTTGGGAAACTATTCCGGTCATGAGACACCTATGTTTTTGGCACAACCATGTTAGGCGCTTGTCATCTGATCACTTTCATATTAAAACTTAATACATCTCATTCTGTATTGAGTATTGAATTTCTCTGAAGAAATAAAAAAAATGACCTTCCCTGATCTTTAATTTTTATCTTAGGAGTAATGAATTCTCTTTTAAAACAGTTCGAAGCATTTTGAAAACAAAGTTAAGCAAGACCCAATTAACCCATATGCAAAATGATACGAAACCGAGAAGGGTGAGAAGCAAATGCGGAAATGAGTAGGTTCATTGATTGGTAACTTGTTAGAGATTCCAAGAGAAGAGTAGAGAAGTGTAGTGCATGCTTTTGCTCGAGGGTTGGCGGTGGTCTTTCCCCGCTGTATGGCAGGATCCGGCCATCGGCTAGCAGGGTTTTCCCCAACCAGGCATCTCCCGCCAGCGGAGAACCGCCCGAGCCGGGACAAGCTCTAAGCTCCCGACCGGCCTCCCGGCATGTGTGGTGGTGTAGTGCTTCTAAGAGAAAGCGTAAGTAAGGAAGAGAATAGGTGAAGGATGAAGAAGGAAATATTGCGCACGGTCTGCGGCCCGTTTGTTAGGGTACTTCTCCGGCATACGGCTGGTGTTGATGGGAGTAACCACGTAAAACTACCTATCACAGCAGCCGGCCGCTAGAATCCCCCTCCAGACAGCTGAATTCGACCTAGCAGACAAGGTATTGTCCACTGCCGGGACTCGGACCTAGGTCCTAGAACCCCCCCC